AGGAGCCTCTGAAGAAGTCGTTATAAGGTGGATAAAACTTTCTACGTTTCAGAGCAGGATTTAATTGCATGTAGTAAACAATGGGCAAGGTCACACATTTCACAGAGGGTATGAAGTCACGATGAAGTGGTTGGTAAGGGCTTTGGCAAAGGCAGAGGAAGAACCAGTACCCGGGCAGGTGTGTTGGGGCCAGCGAGATGCACAGCCACTCCTCCAGCGCTGCCGGGTCTTCAATTGAGTGTTTCTGCAAGGGAAATCCTCCATCTATCACCAAAAGGAAAAGGAACCTGTGCAGTGCAATGTGGTTACTCCTCCTGGGACCAGACCTCGCTGAGACAGCTCAGGTTAAACCCCATTCCTGGTGGTGCCCCTCGAAGCAGACCAGCCCTTGCGCTGACCACGGCCTGGGAGGGGAGTGCTGGCTGGCTGAGAGGGATGGCGACATTTGGGTCCTGGTCCAGACATCAATTAGCAGGAGGTGTCTTCTACTGGGAAAAGATTTTTCCACCCATTTCTGTGTGTTTACCCCACATGAACAAGCCCCATCCCTCTCCCCCTTCACCCATGGCTCCTGCCCTGCTCCATCCCAGGCATCACAGAGTTGTTGAGGTTGGAAAGGACCTTTAAGATCAGCAAGGCCCACTGCCTCCCACCACCCTGCGCTCTGAGGACCACCTGAACTTTGTGCCAGTTCTGTCCCTGCCGTATCAGTCCTTCCCTCTTGGAGCTGACAGCAAGGGCACCTCCGCTGGTACCACTCATCCTGTGAAGCTGCCTGCAGATATTTCTCGCCCCAAATCGAGCCTTGTGGCACAAAAGCTTAGGCTGGGGGAACGGCTCTAGGGCTTACACCCTTACCCATGTGCAGAGGTGACCAGGAAAGCAAGTCCCTCACCGCGGTTTGAGCAGGCAGCTCACAGTGACATTTCTGTAGCACTTCCCTCTGTCGCACCCTCATGCCCGAGTCCCTGCAGCCAGGCACGGACAGGATTACACAGAACAAATCACACTGTTTGTCATCCTGCATCTCTACAACCGTAACCTCTCTGCTAGTGACTCCGAGAGCGCTCTGATCTCGGCTCTGGAGTTGAATCTCCTCCAGCCATCGGTGAGTGAGCCTGGGCAGCGCTGGTGTCCCTGGCAGAGGCTGACGGGAGTCCCCGGACCTCCTGGGGCGCAGCAGGTTAGAGCATCTCCTGCTCCAGCAGCCCTACACTGTGAGACAGGACATCTGACAGGGTGACAGTTTGGGGACTGGCCTTCGGACATGGTGACTGGGTTAGACAGCAGCCTGAGGGTAACTGTTTTCTCCACTGTGGTAACCAGATTGTGCGAGGTGTCCATCCAAGACAGCAGCAAAAGCTTTTTGCCTTCAGGCTGTATCTGCTGATGGAGCTCCTGAACCTGGAGCCAAACGCCACACCACAACCACCACAGAAACAGGACAGCAGCAGACGCAGAAGCCACCGCACCACCAGACTGCTACTGCACCTTGCCTCTCAGCAGCAGCCCGTCCACTTGTGTTCATTTATACACACACACAAAACGAGGACAGAGCAGTTATGATAACTTACATTTTAATCAGCCAAATATACAAGTTCTGTTGTTGTTGGTTTTTAAACTTTATCAAGGCTTTTTTCCATCTGGGTCTGATACAATTAATGTAATTTGTTTTTTGTCCTTTAAACAAAGGATGATGTGGTTAAAAACTGGCACTATCCCTAAAAGGAGAAGGGGAAGAAAGAAAAAAAATGAAGAGGAGGGAAAAGGGGAGACCGGTTGCAAGAAAGGATGGATGAAACCGGGAAGGAACGGCACTCCAGATGTCCATGAAGTCAGGCTCCCAGCTTATACTGCAACACCCTGCAGCAAAATTTGACGGGCCACTTGCCCAAAAGGATTCCTTAGATACATTATCTTTTGGACTTTCACTAGCAAGTCAAAATTCCCCACCCCATGCCCCACCCTACAATGACCCCATAATCTATTTTCTTGCAATCTAATATTTGAAGCATCTCCCCTCCCGCACAGCTCCCTCCCACCCTGCCCCCTGTCTATGAGTTCTTAAATCCTAAAAACAGCAAAAACATTCAGGTTTCCAAACTGTTACAGAGAATTGCTGTTCAGCACAGTTCTGCACCGAAGATAGCAGCTGCCCCTAACCCCAAATGGAAATCTGTGCCAGGATGAGGACAAACACATCGTCAGCGTCTCTTGGAGGTGAAGGTAACTTCGATGCCACAGTACACCCTACGTGGCATCGATGGTACGCAACATGACAGAGTTCCTGGCAGGCACCAGGCACAGTTCCCTGGCGTTTCCTCCTCTTGCATGTCCTGTGCTTACTTGTTAAGGGATAGTGACTGCAGTCTTTTACCTGCCATGGCCGCTTCGTCTTTTGCTGGGGGAGGAAAACAACAGAGGTTTCATCATTTCACAGCGCACATCAGGGACTGGTGATGGCTCCACAGCCCCAGAGACCGAAATCCTCCTAATCACGTACAGTGCGGTAATGGAAAAACATCCGACCCTCCCCGCCAATCCCTGGTAGATCCCCTCCAGAGTTAAGAGGAGCAGCCCCCCTTGCATGTTCCCTTGTGTCCTTGGCCTCTCTTCAAGCATCCACAAATTACCCTGATGCTGATGCACAAATTTCTCTGTGGAAGCCACTGGGAAGACATGCTCATCAGACTTCTGGTTCAAGCCCATCAGAGCTGAAGAGCAAATCCAGGCAGGGGAGGAGTGCTGCAAATTCCCTGGGCAGTTTAGATCGCCAGCATCCAAAGCAGATAAATCACACCCAGCACAAGGAACCTGCTAAACCCCCAAACTGGAGGAAGCATTGCTGGGGAGGCTGAGGACAGTATGGTTATCAAGGGCAATTCCCTTCTCTCTTTCCCTGCTCCCTGTTCAGCTTTGTAAGAATAAAACAGCTGAACCCGGTTTTGATGAGAGGAGTTGTGATGACACCCAGCAACACCACGCAGTCTCGGGAGATGAGGGATTACTATGTGTGGCATGAGAAACCATGCCTCTTGGCAGCGCAGCCATCGCAAAGAGAAGTAAGAGGATACGATTAACTGCTCTCTAACCTTTTCTTTCTTCTTCTTTCTTTCTGGCAGCTTCTTCCCTTTGCTTCCGAATGATGGCTAGTCGGGCGAGATCTGCCTTCGCTTGTTCTGTTTTACCGGCTAGGTGCATTTTCATGTATCTTTCTTTTGCCTTTTGTTTCTCTATTTCCTCTCTGTTTGAGTGAAACACACCAGTCACCAGAGTGTCCATGTAAGCATGCAGGTACAGGCAGGGTGGGGGAGGCTTTCTAACTGGGAAAGACAGTGAGGACAGAGATGGATTGCCCACAGACTGGGGGGCCCCGCCACCAGTTTTCAAGCACAGGTCATATCTATTGCAGGGTTTGAACAGGGAGGATGATGAGAGAGATTATTTCTACCTTTGTTCAGCTAAATAAGGACACTGACGTACAATGAGGTCAACTGAATTAGCTCCACACTGCACAGCACCATGACATGTTTTTTCCCAGCCTTACCCTCAAAGACGTACTTCTGCTGAAGCAATCTATCCCAGATAAACAAGCTTAAATATTTCACTCTGAAACTCTCCATTGCTAAATGAAACTAGAAGATTGAACTTTGGTTCTCATCTTATTTGTCTGCTCAGACTAAAATTCCACCATGACGCTTGGAATCTGGGAAACCGCTACCTGTCACTAAGGCACCTTATGTAGCAAGATTAAAGCAGAGCCCAAGGTGACCTCTGGTTAACGGAATTCAGTTACGGCTGATTTTTGGCACCAAACTTCAGGAAAGGAATGACCTAAATCCACTTCAGGGCAACAAACTTCACTCTCTTAGTGTAGCTGGCCAAGCTGCCTAGCTCCAGGATGGCCAAAGCTACTCCCAGAGGACAGGCAATTCTGTAAAGTTTGTAAAAAAAGACATTTTGAACCACAGTGAGTCCCGCTTGACAGTTCCCTGCTGTTCAGTGTCTGCTTTAGACAGCAACACATTCAAAGGGCTTCCCTGAAACACCAACGCATACACAGCAGGGAAACACCTCCCCACGTTAAGCTGCTGCCACCAGGAAGGATGAAATTCCAGGAACGCGCTAGGTCCTGCTGAAGCAGCAGGAAAGACTCACCGCTCTCGTCGTGAGAGTTCCTTAGGTCCATCCAGGTCCAGCTGAGTTACTTTTTTGGTTGTTTGAATTACACGATTGGGATTCTCTATGTCTATCAACCCTTCCACTCCTTTGCGCTTTTGCTAAGGTTCAAGAACAAAAGGAAGGTTAAGAAGCTCTCACACACCCAAAACTGTGTTGTATCAGAGCTCATCAAAATCACTCACCCAAAAGCAGAATTCAAGATGTTTTTACTACCAGACAGCAAAACCATTTATGAATCAAGATTTATACCACCAGGCATCTTCAGCCTTCTTTGAAATCTTCTTGCCTTTGTATTTCATTTATAAAAATACACAAGTTTTCATTCCGAGGACAAAATGCTGTCAAGTAAGGGTTTTTGGCCTTCTAAAAATAGTTCTTCCATAAAAATTTTAATATAGGTAGCTCTCAAAGAGAACTTGGAGTTAAGAGCATGTATCTCTCTCCTGCCCCAAGGATCTGGATGGCGCAACTGCATTAGGTGCCCTGAGAATGACAGTACCTGATAATCCTCGTCATCTTCATCACTCTCATCTGAATCTAAAGACTTCTTTTCCTTTTTGGGGTCCCCCGTTGCTCCTTCACCTCCTTCTTCTTGCTCCTCTTCTTCCTACAAAAATCACAGGAAATTAGAGAAAATGTATGTTAATAAAAATCCTAAATCCAATACTGACTCTTAAATAGGATCATTTTGGAGGGATGAGAGACAGTTCTGAGAGCAATGGTGTTCCTGATGTGGCCCTTACGACACCAAGGGTGCCTGGTTGTTACAAAACAAGAGCTCATTCTCATCACATAAGCATGCATCACCTGCCCCATCAGATCACCTCTAAACAACTCTGCTGTTCTCTCTGTGTAACAGGCCAGGAAAATGATTGTAAAAGACAGAACTGGCACTTTACTTTCCCCAAATGACAGATCTCCAGGAGACATTTTGGCCCGAGTTTCCAGTGCACAATATCTCAGGGACTGGAAATTACACAGACGTAGCATAGAGCTGGATCCCACCCTACATATCTAGATAAAAACTCAAAAACTAGAGAAGAGCAAATTGACAACCATCAACCAGAACATTATTATCCAAGAAATTACAGCCTTTGTAGTACAGCTTTTACCAGTCAGAAGTCTAGGAATCAACTAGTAAAACATTACAAGATAAGATTATATAAATCAACATGGGTGTGAATAGCTTGCTTGCTTTACCATTGCCAAATATCCCTCATCACCATAACTGACAAAGCAGATGAGCTATGGGCAGTAACAGGAGTAATTCTGTTAACTCTTTTTTTTTTTTTAAGCTTTCCCTAACAAAATAGCATAAGATGTAACCATCACTATGTGGTACAGATCATCACCAAAAAAAAAAAAAAAAAAAAAAAAAAAAGAAGAAAACATTCTCAAAGAGCACTTCTCTGGTTTGTTTTGAAACAAGATCGACATTTCAAGTGGGGTCCTGCTTGTTCTGTTCCATTTCCAGTTGGTATTTTTATTAACAACTCGGAAGTAGAGAACACTTATCAAGCTTGTGAATGACATCCCACTGGTAGGAGTTGGAATCATTTTGGAAACCAGGATCAGATCCATAAGTGTTTTCAGAATTTGGAAAGATGGCACGAAACCAAGAAGGTGGACTCAGAAAACAAACCAAGAGGAATTATGCTTTGGAAGAAGAAATCCAACACAAAGTCGGAATATGTGGCTAAGCAGCAAATCACGCAATCATCCTGAGTGAGTTACAGCTGGTCAAACCATTAAAAAGGAGTCAACAATATGGCTCATAACTGCTTGAAAGAGTAATCTTCTTCCTGGAGGTATCCATCAGTATTTCCTATATGGGGTGTAATTATCCTACTGTAGTCAGTGCTGTGAGGCTTCAGCTGGAATAGTGTATTTGGACTTAGGCAGCACTTTCAGAAAGTCACAGAAAAATAGCAGCAAGAGTGCCATCGTAGCTGTGATAATTTGGGAATACAAGAGAGCAAGTACTGCAAAAAGTAGCCATGCCTTTTATAATACCAGTCAGGTAGTTGTGGAAGCAGGGGGAGCTGTTACAATCCTATGTTGGGGCATAGAAACATGCCCAAAAAAGGACTTGTGCCAGCAAGCTCTGTTATTTCTCCCTACAAGTCAGAGGCAAACAAGAAAATCATGTGTACAGGAAGGAGTCAAAGGAGTTTGGTCTTTTAAGTCTAGAAGAGAAAGAGGGCAAATATAATTCAATGTACAATAAGATGTCAAGATGTGAGCCTTTTTTCTCCATAGCCAAGCTGCAGAGCATGGATAAAAAAATTAGCCGAAACTGGAGACTAGAATGATGAAATACAGGGGGAAAAGATGTCTAGAGCTGCTGTGTCATCATCTTCCCTATCCTTTAACCTTCAAATTGTGAACTGGATGGTCTACTTGGCCTCACTTCTATGAGGAACCAGACTGGATCACACCTTCCTAGTCTCCCCAACAATATTCTCTCCAGAGGTGTTCAGAATTCATATCGTGATCGCTGACAGAACGATTTGCAACACTTGACTAAGCTGCCATTTCTCACGAACTGCAAATTAAGCATGCTGTACAAGCCAAGACTTAGAACAGTAAGCGTGTAACGTAGGCAAACACATACCCTTGCCTTTTGCTTTTCTGCTTGGAGCTGGGCATCAATCTCTTCAGGACTTGTGTACTGTCTTGCTCGGCCTTTGTGGCCTCCTTTTCTACCTGTAAAAAGAAAAAAAATAATTAATAAATAGTTTAGCAATAAGCTTCCAGAAAGGTCTCCTCCTCCTGCAGCACTCTCTGGATTTTCAGTGCAGATAGGACAAACCAAAATAGCTCCTCTGATAGAATCAACAACAAAAAAGACACACCGAACTTGCCAGCCTCAGTAAAACACTCCCAGATTTTTGGGCAGAGAGAATTGGGATTATTGATCCAAAGAAAGATACTCAGACAATCAGTTCCTTCTTGCCCCTTGGGCTGTTTTTAGGGACACCAGAACTGAGAGCAGCCTATCAGCTGTACAGTGTTTTCCAAATCAAGCGCAGGCTTGTCCTACAGAGAGTGAGCCAGGAAGGTACTTCCCGAAGGGGGTGCTCCCATCCCTCAACCATCGCAGACCCATGACACCAGTTATGGGGCAACAAGCTTCCAAGTGTCCCCTCAGCTCTTGGTGACACCACCCTTCCTTGCCCACCCATGCCTACACTTGTGGCCTCTTTGATTCACTTTCCAGACTGGCAAGGGGTGCTCAGTCCCACAGCTGCTCTCTGCGTTTCCTGCACAGGAGGAATCACAGCACGTTCCTGCGGCAGCCACGGTTACAACCAACTCTCCGACAAGCTTGCCTCTTTAACTCCTCCCCTACACTAAGGCTCTGCCAAGAGAAAATGGGAAGCTCATCGGACAAAAGCTTTGGGAATTATAATGGGAGCTGAAGAACTAAAAGGAGCCTCCATGTTTTACTGCTTTATAAGGAAAAATAAAAACAACCTCTAGGAACCAGGAAAAGGACAGAGTTAGCTTAGCTGGCTGGACTGCCTGGCTAAGATCTGCTCGCAAGTTCAAAATTCTGTTGATTAATGAATTGCTGAAGCCAGTAATGCTTCCTGCAAGTGACTGCTCTGTTTATGTTCTTACAGCTCAAAGAAATGCTGGAAAGCAAGCTGAATAGAGTCAGTCTCTAGCCTTGAGCTAGGGAGCTCAAGGTAAAACCGGTACGCGAGATCGGCAAAAAGCAAACGGCTCAGGCAAGGGAGCTCTCTGCTACTGCAGGAGTCTTTGAAGTCCCATGGTAGGAGCAGGAAATCCTCACTCTCTCTCACCCTTCCCACTTCACCTGCCGACAACAGAAGCCTTACGGTGGTGGGGAGGGCTGAGGGGATCGTCCCTCCTTCCTTGGGACTGAGCAGGACGCAGGGGAGAGATATCCGTCAGTACTGTACTGCTGTGCCACAGCCATGCCTGGCTGTGCTCTTGGATTTGTAGGGACAGGGAGCACCAAGGCAGGCAGCCGCTGTGGGCTGCGAGCTTTAGAAATTCAACGTTTTCTGACCAGTCCTCCTGGCTCAGCAGAGAGAAACTCTCATACGTTTTAGCTTAGTAAAAGCCGAGCTGTGGAACAAATTACCTCAAAACCCCCACTCTGACGCCTTACAGAGACTCCCAAGATGTTTTGCTCACGTGAAACGGGGAAGCGCAGAGACCAGATTCTTCTCTCTGAGCTCAGCTGTGGAAGCTCGTGGGCACTCAAACCATAAACACAACCAAAAGCTTTGCTGCACCCAAAGACATGTGTTTTCTGTTTGTCTGTTCCCAGCCATCCCACGTGGCAATACTGACACCCTCTGGGAACGAGATCTGCCAAGGGAGCACTCCAGCCCAGGAGACATTACCTCACTGCCCAGCAAATGACATCACTCTAAATGGAACAACAGTAATATCATTGACGTACTACGTAACACCAAGAAAACATAAAAAAACCAAACCAACGCTGTGCTACAAGCTTAGCCAATGCCAGGCAGCCTTCCTGTCCAGCTGGGCTCAGAATTTTACCCTGGGCTCAGAACTGAAAAACACAAAAGCCTTATTACTGCAAATAAACTGCAGTAATAAAGGGGAGAAAAACAACTGAAGAGAAATTATCTTACATTAAACGCCTAAAAAGAAGCAAATGGAAGAGTGAATCCATCTCATTATATTCGAGCCTGCCCACAGGGAAGTAAGATCCCTTGAGCGGGAGCAGCAGTGCCACCGGCTCAGCAGCTGGAAGGACTGAGGGGAGCTCAGCACGGTGCAGGGACGGGGCTCTGCGCTTCACAGGGAGATCAAACCGCACGTCAGACAAGCAGACTGCCGGTCCTACATCAGTCACTGACCTACCACATCATGCTGCACAACTCACTTCAGCTCCGTGCCTCAGTTTCCCCAATCTGTACAATAGGGATAATGATGCTCATCCTCCTCTGTGAAGCACTTTTAAAGTACAATCACCTGGAGATTTTACCTGCAGTGAAGACCACTGGCGCCTAAGGCAGGCACACTTTCAAATACAATTGTCTTCAGCTTTAAATAGCATAATTAAGGAATTTAAATCAAAAAGAATAGAAGAATATTGAAGGAATGACTTGTTTTTAAAATCAAAAGTATTCAAAAAAAGAACAAAGTAATCAGAAATAATCCTGTAACAAAATTTGTTATTGGCTGGTTAACCACCACCCCCATTTCATATTAAACAGTGAGTGCAAAAATCCACCCTTCTGCTAACAATACATTAACTCCTACTGACTTTGGGAGGGAGGCAAGCAAAGATCCCTCTTTTCCCAAGAAGCAAAAGGTTTGAAACAAACATTTAAAACTGTACAATGAAACACAGAGCAGGAAATCCTCAGTTATGGGGCATTTAAATATGGCAACCAGGGTTATAACGCACCACAGTTCTTTGCCTTCACAAAAAATAGGTAAAAGCTTCAGCCCCATCTACTAACATTATACAAATGGACACAAAATAAAGTGCTTAAAGAAAATCTAAATAGGGAAGCAGATTTGGTATTAAAGCTTGGGAAATGCTGATGAAATAAATTGGAGCACACTACAGAGAAGATGAATGACGAGGCCTGCTTTACATTAATGTATATGACTGGGGTTTCACAGACGCTCGCACAAGAGCCAATTATGCAGATGCTGCATCTGGAGAAGGTTCTGGGTGGATACAGCTCAGCCCTGACAGCCTGTCAGTCCCTCATTACTTCTCCTTAATCACACAAGCAAGTCGGTACCCGCTCCGTAATACCCAGATGCGGAGCTGCCGGAGCCACATGAAAGAAGTCATGTTTGAAGCCCCTGAACTGACGACCCCCTCGCCATCCCACCCCCCCGCTGAC